GACTTTTCCTGCTGGGGTATGAAGCAAATTAAAAAAAAAAAAAATTCAGATCAAACCAAAATTAGGTTCTTTATCTCAGGTTTTTCCAGCACAAAAAAAAAAAAAAAAGTAGTAATGTTTTGTTGACATTTTGGTCAACATAAATGTTTCTTTTAACACAAAATGTACAGTGCTTGTTTTATTCCCATGTTACTTGACCATTTTAATTCAGCATTTTTAGATTAAAAAAGTTTCAAACCAAGAAACAATAACTTAATTACTAAAATATTAAAACAAATGCTTCAGCTTAATATCAGGAAGTTTAGGTGCTTCCACCTACCTGTTTACACTATTTTTTTTTTTCCCAGCAGAAAAGATTCACTAAAGCTCAACCCACATTTGTTAGCGACTCTCCCCTCAAACTCTGCTTTCTGTTCATTTACTCCAGAAAACATTCCCTCCAATGGATCTGCAGTACCTCTTTCACTGGGACATGAACATCACCATCAGGAATTTTACTTACCAAAAGGACGAGAAACTGGCATCTTCCTGAGACCTGGGACACTAACTTGGGAAGCTATTTTTGGTAGATTATATAGCTTTTTTTTCTCTTGGAAGCTGTGACAGCATCCACAATACTTCCCTGGGTGGAAATCAGAACGATGGCAGCAAAATGCTCGGGAACAAATTGTACATCCTAAGGCACATCCGTAAGTATGTACAAGAGTGAGAACAGGCTTTCATTAGCTTGGCATCAACATAATATATCAGGCAGCTGTTCATGTTGAGCTGAACAGGCTGTAGTCAATTCCCAGTAAGGACAACTGAAAGTCTTATAAACCATAATAACAAGGGGACTGCTCAATTTTCAGATACATGCATCAGGGACCCATTTCCCAGGGTATTTTCATTCTTCACACCATAAAAGCAGCCCAACAATCCCTCTTCATCCCCAAATCCAAAAGGCGATTTGTGAAGAGCAGCTCCCTGCTGCCCGTACCAAGCCAGTGTGGGAAGCACGGCCTTTCAGACACCCAGGACACCCTGTGGACCAGCCACCCCACATCCATGCTGGCAGTGGGCAGCCAACCCTTGGCAGAGCTGCTGTGTCGGACGCCTGTGAGCACAGAGCTTCCCGTGCCTCGTGGCATCAGCAGGCTGGCAGCAGACAAATGTGCCCACTGCCCATGCTTGGCTGCCCCTTCCCGAGGGGCATAGCAGCCCTCCTGCCACCTACCCAGAAGCATGCCCGACACATCAACAAGATGCAGCCATTCCCCCCACCGAAAATGGGCTCCCCACCATGCTGGTGAAAAAGCAGATCCTTCAGCCTCCTTGCTGGAGCCTATGTGGTCCATCATGGCCCAAACATTCCTCATCCCAAGTCTGCAGAAATCCCAATGGGCTGCATTTCATGGGATGAGACTGGACTGTGAATGTAGCTGTAAAAGACTTGTCACAAATCAAGAGCTCATTTACGTTTTAGAAGAGACACTGAGGTCCCTCCCCTCAACTGCTAATTTAATACGTTTCCAGTACATTTTTTTTAAAAATCCACGAGAACCTGGAAGCAGATGCTCCTACAGCTAAAACAAAACTTTGACTTACTTAGCACTGCCTGGCAAAGCTAAATAACAACCCCTGAGATGTACCGCAATATGCAAGTACTAAAAACAAAAGGTAAATTATATTAGATGCTAGCTGCTATCACAGTGACCCATATCTTAGGGTTTCAACTGCCTCTCTGCCACACAGTCCTCCTAAAGCAGGCTTTATTGCCAAGCTTTTATATGTGCCACTGTTCAATCAAATAAGGCAGCCTTCTGCCAGAGAGCGTGAGCAAGATTAGGAAGTAGAACTGACTTAGTTCAAGCCTCCCAAGAGCAAGGGGCAATTAGCACAACCTCAAGAAATGAAAAACTGAGCGAGTGAGTGTTCAAAAGAAAATGCAAAATTTCACAATACAAGCTGGTTTTCTTCACACTGGACAAGTCTCGAGGTGGCTATGTTTAAAGGTAACTAGATTTACTGAAATGCATCAGTCATGTTCTTAATATCAGCATTTCAGCCTTCAAAAAGTGAAAATGTCTAAAGAAGTCAGGTTCCCCATGGGATGATGCAGAGTTGCTTCCTCAGCCAAGTGCCAATGGAAGGAGAGGGCCGTCAGGCAGAGCTGGCTGGGCCAGCCCAGCAGAAGAGGCTTTGGCAAACACAATTACTGTAAGATGCAGATCTCTTCTGCAGAACCCCAATAATAGAAAAAGTATCCAGATACTGAAGAGGTAAATGCAAAATGCAGCCAAAATGACTGTAACAAGTGAAATGTGAACTTCCGCACTGATTGACTAATTTTGGAAAGAGGAACAGTCAAGTTCAGGAGCAATATTCTAACACTTCCCTACAGGAAAGATGAAAGAGGGGGAGAGAAAGCTTGAAAGAACACTAACAGACCCACATCGCTGCGTGCAGCGAGGAGAAGAGGGCGGCCCATCGAGCTGGCCAGAAGGCAACAGCAGGCTTAGGCCACACGCAAACAAATTTCTACATAGAAGTCGGGCAGCTGGAGAAGCAAGGCTGAGCGTGAAGATCAGACACCCACAAGCCACCCAAGCAGCAGAGGCATCTTGCTGCTTCACAGACCTCAGTCTGGCAGCGACTTCCCCACCACGGGCTGCCCTTCAGTCTCCCAGGGAAGCACAGGGACAGGGGAAAAGCCCCTCAGAGCCTGCAAGCACAGGCAGGTTCCGACACCGGGGGGCTCAGCCAGGTCCCCACGCAGCTCTCCCATCACCATGGGGAAGGGCCTCTGCACTGCAGCATCCTCCCGCTGCCCAGCTCCAGGATGCCACTGGGCTGGCCCCTCCAGGGGTTACCCTCTGGGTGCAGCCGCCCACAAGCAACAGCTTCGTGGAGGGCATGTGCTTTTCATTCCGAACAAACACACGCTTTACATATCAGAGGTAAAAGATTTTATTATCCCATGGATTTTTCCTAAGAAGTAAGAGTCCTACCAGACAAAATATACAAAGCATCTTATGTTCTCTTTCTAGACAACTTCATTCTCATTCTATGAAACAATGACCACGTTAGTTCACCTTAAAGAACCAAGGTTTGTCCTTACAGCTGTGGGATTGCACAGAGTTAACATATTCAATGACCAGTTAATTCATGCAGAATCAGAAGGAAGGGGAAAAAGGTCCGTATGCTCACCTGAGTGCAGGCTTAGGTTCCTAGAAATGAAGAGAAACGCAGGGCTTAAATTTACCAGTTTGTGGTACTTCCATTAAGCAAACCTATTCTCTGACCCTTCCTGTCATCCACTCCACAATGAAAGGTTAGGGCTAGTAGCAAGTTATCGTTGGAAAAACACAACGCTAGAAAAGCAAATACCCCTCTGGCAGTGCGAGGCTTTCCTTACCAACCTGCGTGAAGTGCACCTAATTCTTCATTTTACATCAAGCTTAAAACAGAATGAAACCAAAGTGTCCTCCTCTACCTGTTAAACTATGTTTATACAAAAAAATAAATTCTCAGTCTCTAAGGACATACTAATTTCTATTGCATTACTGACCATTTTGAGATCCTGTTCTGTTTTCACATAATTAACTCACAGTATTATTACTTAAAAGTTTTGTTCTAAAATATATTCACTTTTTTTGGTTCTGCTGAGTTAATGATTGTACTTGCATTTACTTTATCCTTCCTCTTCTAAAACAACAAGCTCATTTCAACAGATGGTGAACACGTCCAGATTTGCTGGAAACCAATTAACAAGAATGTGCTAAGCTGAAACTCACCCCAGTCTTTCAAGCCAAAAAACTGCCTGCATTTCAAGAACCTAATTAGTTTTAACTATATTTATGGAACAGAGGGAAGAATATGTAATTACTCTGCAATTCTACTGTCTGATGATCAATAGAAATGCAGTTTTGGTCACACAATTTCTCTGCAGTATATTGGTCAGCTGAATCTTGCCTTGTATCAATATCTGTACTACAATGGTGCCTGCAGATAATGTGACACACAGCTGGACTGCAGCAATTACTATCAAAACAGCTTTCATCAGAGGAGTTCTACAAGAATACACATTCTGTTAAAAAAAAAAAAAAATTAAAATTCTGCTTCTGCACTTGCCGGTAACTACCAGTTCTGCTGCTGACACAACTTTGTACATGGCATGGCACCCCATCCGCACACAGATGGGATCTCGACAACTCAGGAAGGAAGACCCGTGTGAACATAACTCATCTTTCCAGGCAAGCAGAGCTGGCCAGGACAGACACGGGGCTGGAGTAAACCACCCAGCTCCACCCACAGCCACCGCCTATAGATAGGGCATCAGTGAGCTTTGGCACCCTGCATCAAAGATTCACCTCTCTATTTCCTTGGGGCAAGTGCCAGCAGATCTGCCCAGGATCCACAGCAGATGTAACTGTGTGTTAGAGAAAAGCCTGCACAGCCTTGCACTTCACCCTCTGCTTTGTGGCCATTCCCAGCCCACCTCATTGCCCCTTGTCCCGGCCTCCTGCCCACCCTGAACACCCATTAGGATACCCAGCATTGCTCAGTGGGTCACGCTGAGCCATGCTGCGTTCAGGAGGAGACGTGGTGAGGGGTGAGTCCAGGAGCCAGTCATAAAAACAACACATTGTGGTTGCTTTCAGTGTTTGAAATCTGGTCTTCAGGGGGACAGCACATAGCAAGCTGGGACCACCACAGCATGGTTTGGACAGAAACCCTCCCTCTGCTGAGCTTTCTGAATCACCTTGTCTGTAGTCTCACAACTATTCTTTTCCTAAGTGCATCTGGTTACATCTTTCTGGTCATTACATCAGCATCAAAATGGTAACCCTCCTCCTGTACATACACCTTCTGTCCCAGTGCCATGGCAGCCTCAAAGCACTACACCAGCCTGAAATCACCCAGCCGGGAAAAGAGCACCTATTTCCAGCACACCTGTTTCTCGGCCATCCCTTCTGCCCCAAACCTGCTCCCAAAAGAGATTCCTGTCCTGTGGCATGGAAGACGCTGCATCTACTCCCAGGCTATCTTTGATCACTGTGTAAATTTAAGCCCAGCAAACGTCTCGGGTAGGTAGCAGGGAGAAAAGAGAATCCACTGGGAGGCCACAACGGACCCAAGAGGTTAGAGCTGCACAAGCAAGGGAGGGAGTAAAAAAAGTAAGACAGATTACCATGTCTAAAGAGAGGGCTGAGAGCATGTGTGTGCAAGCAAAGCCAAGGAAGGTTACATCTGGAGAGCGGCTTCATGACTTTTTGCAGATAACAGTTTCGACCACAAAAGTGTTTTCAAAGTGACGAATACGATGACAGTTTTCAGCCTCACGTCGACTGATACCTAGAAGTGATTGAAAGAGAGAAGAGAGGAAATTCAACAAATGATGATCTACAAGAGCTGCAGTGAGTAGGGGAAGGAAAGCAGATGAGATGCAACCACTGAACACTGAAATGCAGGAACAACACAGCCCATATGAAAAGCAGTATAACCTGGTCTTTGGAAGAATAGCCATATTCTCTAGGCCATGGTCCTGCACTAAGAGCTGCCATGAGCTGGGGGACCTGCATGGAAACAGCTGGTTTCAGCTGTCAGCATCTCAGAGACCAGAAAGCTTCATGAAACCAGCAGAAGTCACACGCTGGTACAGAGCACAGCTCTGAATGCAGCCAAGGAGGGCTTAAAATCACCACCCGTCTGGCTGTTTGTATCCCCGCATGCATTGATCCTGCTATGGCCTCAGCCTCTCTGGGAAACAAGTAATGTTCCCCACGCCCTTAAACTGCAGGACCTCAGCCCTGGGGAGCTCTGCCGGTGGTGGTTTACAGCAAAGCCGGTGGTGCCCCTGCTGACAAGCAGGACTGTGCCAGGGCTCCACGAGAGCAGCAGCCAGCGTGCTGGCAGCCCCGTCCACAATTGTGCAGCTTCTGTTGGGAAAGCAACCACAAACGACAGCCATGGTGACTTCTGCACCCAAACGCTCTCGGCACCCTGCAGCTTCCCCAGAGATTCAAACCCAAACTGACTATAGGTTCATGTTTCAGGTAAGCCTGTAAGTACACCAGTACCTAAAAACAAATAAATACAAATACTGAAATAAAGGAGTTTTTTGCAGCAATATTACCATTTGTATACGAGATACATATTGCTGATTTTCATTAAATCATTTTAAGGTAGTCCAATGTTCCCTCTTCACAACTTTTCCCATATTATTAGGAACTTAATTAATTAAAGGCAATTTGCAGATCTAATCTGCTCTGAATAGCTGCCACTGAAGTGGGTGTCTCCATTAGGGAAATTTTCCAAACAATTCCCAACAGCACTGCTATTAGGTGAGCCCCAGGAGTCCACATGTAAATGAATTGCTGGCTCCTGCAACTATTTTCTCAATGTTTCTATTAATTAGGCTGATAGATGCAGTGCTAGAAACACAGCAGCCTGCACCCATTTGCAGCGGCATCATCCCAGATTTGGATTTAGATGAATTCGATGGGAAACACCTCAAAAGATCTCCTGTGCGCTTACACCCCCAGGGAAACCTCCCCTCTCGCCCTGAAGAGGCCAGCATGGCTGTAACAGCAGAAATAACGACTGTGATGTGGGGGGAAAGCAAGTTAGGACAGCTGAACACAGCAAGGCTCTTACGTCTCCTCGTGCTCCTCCGCTTCAGCCTGTAGGTCTCCTTGCCACTGCAGAGGCGGTAGATGAAGGAGCCGAGCTGCTCCATGTCACTGACGTGCTCAGTTGCGATCATCTCCTCCTGGATTATGTATGTCTGAGGCAGGTATGTCCCTTTCTGAAATGACAGTTTCCACCAAAATAAAAGCACAAACAGTGCTGTGATCTCCTCCTCGAACAGAACTGCCTCACACAAAGCGCCAAGAACAGCCAAACTGCGGAAAATTCACTGTTTGAAGGCTCAAACCCCACTTACCGAGGCCGGTTAACATTCTTCCCTGTCCTTGCAGTAAACTGTCCCATGCTACTAGTACAGGCCACACAAAATGGATTAGATCCGAAAATTGAATGTTCACGTAGGGGATGAAGCCAGTGTAGGATCAAACCTGTTATAAACTAACCCCAGTTTTACAGGGGGGTGTGCAAAGCTGTAACTCTGAAAGCACAACGAACCTGTCTGGAGAAGGATGAAGGCTCAAGCAAAATGCCAGGAACTCCACTGAAAACGTGCATTTTATGTTTACTTCAAAAGGCAAAACCCAAAAACACCAGCCTTGCTCAGATTCCAACAGTTTGCTGAGTTTTCCACACTTCCCCCTCCTCCTTGGTCCATTCAGCACAGCCACAATAATCTCCTGCCCTTACAGCCCACAGGAACAGGGACTAGAGATGGGCCATGGGCACCACATTTAGAAACACACCCCTGCATGGTAGCGGTGGGCACTCAGGGGAAAGTGAGTTCTCAACACACTTCCATCACCCCAGAGACATCGTCCAGCGACTCTGGGGCAGTGCAGGAAGGCAGCTCACGCCAGGGACTGAGCTGAGGCAAAGCAGCACCCATGAGCTCCCTGCTTCTGGGGTGGAGGCCACTATGAAGACCAGGGTGATGAGTGGGGTGCCTGGTGGGGAGACACAGTAGAAAGCCACCAGGGGCTAGAAAAAACAAGGAGAGAGAAAATGGGGGACCCAGGAGTACCCCAGGGATGGAGGCAGCCTCTTTCCCCGCAGGAAAGAGACCTTCTCGGCCGGGGGGACTTTTTTCCGTCCGGAAAGAGACCTTCTCGGCCGTGAGGACTCTCTGCAAGATGATCCCCGGATGCTCAGGGCATCTTGCAGCTTTCTGGGCATCGCTGCAACAATAAGCAGCTGTGTTACAAGTACAGCTTGGGCCGGGAGGCGCTTCCGAGCAGACTAGATGCTAAGCAAAGACTCACTTCTGGTCCCTTTAACTTAAGAAGAGTCACAAAAATAAAAGAACTTGCAGATCCTGGGGCCAATATAAATATAATCAGGGAGCAAAGCAACCAACAACAGCACAATTTCAAATATCACCTCTTCAGTTTCCACCACAGGACTGGTTATCTCCATAGAGATGTACCTGGAAACATGCTGTCTTAACTTAGCGCCGCGCTGTTGGGCTGGCATAACCTACTGGGTCGATAAAGATCTACTCTAATACTGGAGGACTAGACTATTAGTGGAAGTTTGTACTACACTAACACAACAGTTCTGCAAGAAATTCAATTATTGATTCTCAGTGGGAAAGTGCAGGAGAGGGCATGCGATACGTGCAGTTACTGGCAGGAGCTGTCATGTTAACACCCGGGACTGGGGCTCAGGGTTTGCCATATCCTTGACCTGGCGACAGGGCTTAGAGACCGACACATGCACACAATCCACTTTCTTCATAGTTTTAGATTTAAATAGCTGTGGCAGCTGAAGTAGTCAGGAATCATTGCTCCTCCATTGCAGGACTGTGCAACAAGCATGATACCTTCAATTCTCCTCCAAGAGTTTTAAGAAAACTACAGCACTGAGCGTCTTGTGTTCTGCAAAAGATGTGGATCATCCACCATTTAACTGGGTCATCTCCAACTTCCTGCTGCTGCACGGGGGGAGCATCCCTCCCATCCTTTTCTCTCAGATCCTTATGCAGCCCTGTTCACTGAACCGTTACACCTAAACAGAATAAAGTCTGCGAGAAGTAGCAGAGCTGCCATTTACAGGCAAAAAATCAGACACAAGAGGCCTGGTAACACATACATGGTGACAGCAGGGTCAAGACGTGAGCAGGGTCTGGCACAGCTGTGCCCGCACACAGCAGGGATTACAGAGCAGGCATAGGACATGCAGCAACCACACTGCAAAGGGGCACCCCGGCACCAGGCTGGCCAGGGGGAAAAGCACAAAAGAGCTTCACTCAACCCCTGTGCTGCCGCAGTCTGCTGGCGCAAACAACTAACGTTATTTGCTGGACCGAGGTTCAGTCCTAGAAACAGGACTGAAGCCACTGAACATCTTCAAAACTAAACTTTAAGCTGGAAACTAGTATTATTCATTAGGGACTTCTCTGAATTCAGAGGAGCAGAGAAGGCAAAAGGAGGTGCAAGAGGAGCAAGGCAAAACTCTCCAAGTCCAAGGACCAATGCAGCTCATCCACCATCCAAACAGGAGCACTTCAGAGCAGGGGGACAAGTCATCAGGTGACGAAGGTCCACCGCAGCGGGGAGAAATCTCCCCTCTCTGCCTGACACAGGCCACCAGCAAGGCTGCACCTGTGGACATGAGCATCACAGGCTCATAGGATAATTCAGCTGGGGAGGGACCTCAGGAGGTCTCCAGTCACACCTCCCGCTCAAAGCAGGGGCAGCTATGAGATCAGACCAGGTTCTTCAGGGCTTTATCCAGTCTGGTCTTGAAAACCTCTAAGGATTTCAAGGAGGTGGCACAACCTCCCTGGGCAACCTGTTCCACCGCTTCTGTCCTCATGGCAAAAAACCTTTTCTGAGCTCAAGACCAAGCTAAACACTTAAAAACAGTGTCTCTAAGATGCATTTTAAAACCTCCATAGACAGATTGGACACTCACCCATCCCAATAATCAGAAAGTTATTTAAACCCACATCTGTTTTGTAGTCTCTTTAAAGAATCAAACACGTAAGACCATTTTAACTGTATTTTTAATTCAATTTCTAATAAAGAGAAAGCATCATTTTGTGATTTTATATCTCTTATTTTAGAATGTGACCAGCATTCCCAGTCTCTCAGTTTTTTTCTGGGGCTCTGCTGTCAGCTTGTGCAGTCTTGCCTTTTCCATTTCCCTCTGCCTCAGGGACAGGTCATCTGCCATGGTCAGAAGCTGTGGCTGGTTTGGAGCAAGCTATAAGTAGATGTGTGCTGTACCCCAGCAGGGATCCCAGCAAATTTGCCAGATGGTCACAGTGCCTGAAATTGGGAGGACTGCTAGGAAACAAACTGGGAGTTTGACAAGGACTGGAGATCAGGCATTTTTCACGGCACAATCTTTTGCCTCTGAGCTTAGCCCCTACAAAGTTCATCACACTGCATGTCGCAGCACGTGAGCAAAGGGAATTTAAGAAAGAGTAAGAGTTAGATTGGATTTTTTTTTCTTTTCTTTTAAACAGACCATCACAGAAGGGAGTAAGAGACCCAGCCTCAGTGCTTTGCTTTACCTGCAAAAGACTGAGATATATTTGCGTCTTCTGCAGTCTTAAAAATCCTGGGTTTTTTTCCTGCTGCTAAGATTAAATAGTACTCTATTTTAAGACTATTTTCAGCCACTGCAATAGCAGCACAGGCTTCTGAGCTGAACAAACCTGCTGGTACTAAACCCAATTAATGCCTGCTGTGAACAAAGCTGCATGAGCCCAAGTCCAGCGTTGCAAGCTGCAGCACAGCAGGGAAGGCAGCACAGATTCCCCCCACAAAGGGTGAAAGCTGAAGGCCTGGTACTCCCCAAGGGACAGAGTGCTACAAATGGCAAACTGCAGCAGTAACCACAGCAAGAGTGAAAGGAGGGAAATCTTTCTTTTATTCCTTGATCAGTAAACATCAGAGGGAAGGAATCTGCTGCTTCTCTGTGTCACCCTGGTCAGGTTGATCTGTCATGCCAGCGTTACCGTGCTGTCTGCAAAATTAATGTTTCAACTAAACCCCCTGAAGCCTTCGCTCTATGTGAAGGCTCAGCTTGGTCAGGGCCAAGGCTTTCTTCCACAGACAAAGCAGTTTTGGTACCCCATGAGCTTCTAGCTGGCACTCAGGAGCCAACTCAAGAAAAGCATGCAAAATAAGCAGAATTGCAGCTGTACCTTCACATTAACCAGCAGCTCCCACAGGTTGCGAGGAGGCATCACGATAGTGGTGTTCAGCTCAATGACGTAGCACTTATCCAGCGTTATGTCATGGTAAGCTGTCAGACCCTGCATTCCAGAGAAATTAAGGAATTGAGCCCTTCACAATGAAACGTGGCTGTGAAGATGGGTGAAAAGAGGGAATTCAGGGAAGACAGGAAACTGCTTTAAGCAACAAACCTGTCCAAGGACCTCCCTACCAAGCAAGATGAGCAGGTTGGAAAATCTCAGGGAGGACCTTGGGAAGGAGGACAGCTAAGTAACAAGGTCATCGTAGATATATATGACAACAGTGATAGCACTAGGCCATGAGCACCGTGCTGGTGCACCCCAGCTCAGCCCTGTGCTACACCCCCTAAGGCCCCACAAGCTCCTTACTCGCTGGAAATCGTGGATGATATCCGCAGGGTCGCTCCCTCCAAACTGGGGCACTGGGACGTTGATTTGCTCGTAGTTCTCCTCCATGTAAATCTTGACGTCTTCGTGCAACTCCAGCTGCCCTTTGAACGGTGAATACAGCGAGTCTTCGTAAAGGACACCGCAGTGAAACACACTCTCGCGGGGCAGCTGTGGGGACGAGATCCAGGTGGAGGTACAACACTCATACACCCCACTAACAACTACAGCAAACACAGGAAGAAACGTAGCCATACTGGGTCAAGACACCCTTTTCAAACAGATGCTTGAGAATATTTCAAGATCAGTCTTTTTACCAGAAACCATTCTTGATGAAGGTAGTGCAAAAGACCCTTGTGAAATGACCACATCTCCCTTCCTGCTAGCCAGGTCCAAAGGGAGTAAAGGATTCCCTGTGGGATTTCACAAGGGGTAATTCAGAAAGGCAAACTGACTGCCTGTAGGCTCTTAAATTTCCTAACTGGGCTGTTCACACCCCTCCATAGACAGGGCTTCCAGTAACTGCATTTTTCTACATAAGACATATAAGCTTGGGGCAAGCAGAGTAACATTTCCAAAGGCATTTGTAGCTTGTATATGGCAAATGGACCAAAACAAAGTGGCTTCGCCTCACTGCAAAACAGAAGCTGCTGCTCTCCAGGGCTCCAGAAGCACAAGCTACAGGCAAGAAAGCCAACACAGAGTGATGAAGTCTGAGCACGAAGATCACAGGGACAAACTGCAGCCACTGGAGATTGAGACATAAAGGTCCTGTTGCCCTGGTCTCCAAAGCATCTCTGACCATGTTGAACGGGCTTTGTTGTGTAATTGGATATAAGCTGCCATTTGGTATTGCAGGCAGGCAGTGGGGCCAAAATGGGCCAGCAGGCATTTCCCAGCACCGTTCAGCGTGCGCCGAGGGCAGGCTATTGACCGGGTGATGGACTGAACGCTGTCCATAACCTGGTCAATAATCTTCCCTCAATGCCAGGGGCTTCATCTCATAAGGAAATGTCTACACCAAAAGCCCTGCAACAGGGTTCCATCACACTAACACAGCAGTGTATGGGAGGGTGGAGCAGCCCTACGGTTGTCGCAGGGTTTCCAGATCAGGTATAAATGAGCATGGGTAATAAAGCGCTGATGTATCTTAAAACAAAGATTGCAAATTAATTTGACAGCAAGAAAATTAATGGAGCAAGGGAGTGTATAAAAAGACTATACTGCTGAGTGGATAAGTGCTGGCTGCAGAGATGAAGGCAGCCGGCGGTCCTGGAAGAACTCATTCACTAATAGCTGCTCTGCAGCAGAACGAGGGCTTCAGTGCAAATCAATGCTCTGGGGTTTCTTGGCTAAACACTCAGGAAGCCACAGAGCTCAGCAGTTTCCTCCTTAAAAAGCAGCTCTGCCCTCTCTCATTCCCTATGCTCTGACCCACCACAACGCTGCCAGCCCAGTGCCTCAGCTAGGCCAGGCTTTGCAAAGACTACGTGGAAGAAAAGGTGCTGAATTTAATGGACGTTGAGGGCTTATCTTCCATACCATCTCCCGCTTACTTTTCACTTCTCCACTTGCTTTATTAATAGCAGCACTTATTTTTGTTACACCTACAGAGTTTTGCTGTGCTAGGGCCTAAAAAACCTACTGCAAAAAGCTGTTCCCTTGCCTGTACCTCCCTGCTGTCTCCAGGGCTTGCTCTCCCCTCACAAAAAGCCACGCTTTCAGACTGCCTTACCCCCCTGACAGCAGTGATCTTGGGTTTAAAAGGCAGAACTAGCAGGATATTTTTATGGAGTTTAAAAAAAAAAAAAAAAAAGGCAAAACAAAGCCACAAGGGAGGGGAAAAGGAGGGTTTCTGGAAGGCCGTTCCTGGGAATCAGGATGGAGGTGAACCTGAGCCTTCCACTTAAGACATGCCTCGTCTACAGTGCCCGGAGGACTGGCTCCCGAATTACTGCAGTGCAAAGCAACAAATAACAGCACCACCTCTTTCAAAGGTTGAAGCAGCTTGTCTGGCTGCTCCGGCTGAAGAGCCACCTTCCCGACTCGCCCGTACCTGGGTGATGAAGAAGTATCTGTACACATACATCGATGCAAAGACCAAGCCCAGGAGCAGCACAAGGAGACCCATGGTCAGGTAGCACACCCCGCTGAGCGATGACCTCCGGCCCTGCACCGCGGGAGCCGGCTCCTCCTGGGAGATGAAAACGAGAGCAGTAGTCAGCTGCCACTGCAAGGGATCAGAAAAGCAACTACATTCTATGCAAAGGCCGTGCATGAGTTTGCTGTCTGCGACTGAAGAAGGCAGGCACCATCCTGCAAAGTGGCTTCACATCTGGCAGCGTTCTGGCAAGAGTAAAACACTTCTTATGCATTTTCCTCTCCCAACCCCCAAATATATATATTTATTTTTTTACATATGTGTGTGTGAACATACACATATATATGCATACTCTGCTTCCCACCAACTGCTCAGAACAAAGTCAAGCTTTGTTTCAGTGGGCGATAAGGATCAACCAAAAAAAAGGAAATGAGGAACTAAGAGTTCCTGGCTACTGAATGTAACAGCATTTATGTATTTACACTCAAAAATTTTTGTTGAAATGCTGCCACTCTTGCAGCATTTTTGAGGTGGAAATTACTGGTCTCAGAGAAGAACCTCCTGGCCACGCTGGGGTGAGCCTACCCTAACAGCTATGTTGATCTCAACTTCCTTTTCAAGCAGATTCCTGCACACCTACCAGGAATATGGTCAGAGCATCAAAAGAAAACATATCTGCCTTTTTTAGAGTGCTGCCCAATCTACATAGACAGGAGCCAGCTCACCTCATCACAGCCCTCGAAAAGGAAGGAGGGCAGTGCAAAGGCATGGTTACCTCCTGGGGACCACTCATTCCAGCCTACGATGCTCTTCTTTTTACTACCAAAATAACCCTCCGTAATGTTAAGCAGGAAGATGTAAGGCCTTTCAGAAGAAGATGAAAGAAGCTGGTTCAGAGATGCCCCAGTTTCCACACAGAAGAGCTGAAAGCTGCCCTCAGCTGAGCAGGCAGGCAGGGGAGAGGCACGCCAGGGATGGCTCCTGCAGATTAACTCCCTCTCCACAGTACGTGATCTGATGTGTTGGATTAGAAAGATGCTCTCTCCACGGCTAGCCAGAGACCCGTACAAGCTGGAGAAACAGATTTAACAGGTCCTTCCAGCCCCTGAGGCAAGGGCACCCCAGCATCGCTGGGGCACCCATAGGGAGCCTGCCAGGTGGGGATCCCCCCCTACCTCCCCGGCACCTGAGCTCCATCGAGGTACAGAACAGGGGCAGAGCCAGGATCCTGCAACCCCTCTGCTACCCACTCCACTCCCAGCCGACGCGGACTGCTCCAGCTATTGACTACTTCTTTTCTAGCCACATTCAGACTGATAACTGCAAAGACCAAATTGCTTTGGGAGAGCCACAATTCCAGCACGCCTCCAGGAGAAATTAATCTGTATTTATTTCTTCTCCATCCCAGCTGCTGAAAGCACCTTTATTCACCGCCAGCTCCCTACACTGAAGGATCAGTTTTTAATCAGTTTGCAACTGCTCCTCCAGCAAATAAAGGGATGAGCAAACTGAAAAATACCACATTTTAGGTTCAATTCCAATCTTTCCCTTCTCCTTCTTCTACAGATGAGGGGCAGCAACTGTGACAAGCCACAAAGAAAAGAAGAAAGAAAAAAAAAAAAAATCACATTACTAGAGGAAGTTTAAAGGCGCTCTGACATGAACTGCTAGGACAGGAAAGTCATGCTGTATGTCAAGTGTTTCACAAAAACAAATTTCCCCAGACACTTGTCATCAGAGAAAGAGTGCAGACAGTGGGGGTGAAGAGGAACGAAAATATCTCCTGCTACTGACACTGAAGCACAGCTGAGAAAATGTTTAACGCTCTGCCAATGAATTACATCCGAAAGGTGCCAGGTTCCCGTGATGGATAATGTACTGCTCGCTTCCTCGGTGAGCTGCAAGTGCTAACTCCACAGAGAGCTTGGGGAGAGGGTTCAGAAGGACACAGCAGCTCAAAGAGAAAAAAAAATTACTCCCACTAAAAAGAAAAACTGTGTTTGAAGAATGGTAGGGAGGGGCAAATAAGCCCTCGCTGGTTTGCTATTTGCTAGAGCAGGTCTGTGCTCTTTGCACAGCCAAAGACACAGCGAGACATCCCACCCCTCACCGCCAAAGGAGATGAGTTCGGCTCCCTACAAAGCATTCCTGGCTTTGGGAAAAATGCCTGAGTTTTGCATTTTTGGAGGAGGTGGGGGAAGCGAAGCAGAGCTTTGCCCTGAGAGAAGTTACAGAACACTGGGAAAAATGAAAAAAACCTCAAATCCTGAGGGAGGAAAGAAAAACTCAACAGCAACCATTCTGATGGAGAGATTAAGGCAGCAAAGTTAAAAGTGCTGCCAGGCAGGTCAAGGGGAACAATTAACCACAGTCCTGCAAAATACTGCATAAAAATCACCTGTGCAAACCCTCACTGAAACACGCATCTCCTTCCCCAGTCCAGCAGATTAAAAGGCCAGCAGCCTTTGTCACGATGAATGAATTACAATTTAAAAGCAACTACACGTCAGTCAACACCTGAGCTTTGGGCTGGAGGCGTTCTCAGTGCTGACAGCCTGTGGACCGAGCAGCGCACAACCTGCTTTAACAGCATTTTACCCAAGATAACAAATCTTCACCAGGTTGGAAAAATCCAGGCAGCTTCTTCCACAGGCTGCTGCTCCGCTCATGCCGCAGCGTACCTCCTTCCCCACAGGACTGCCACTCCCTGCAGTAGAAATGTGGGTATTTTAAAACACAGGAAATCCATCGCAGCTGATCTCCATCTGTTCTTGCCATAGGAACGCCGGGCTCCCCAGCAAGGGAGCAGTCTTCCCCTAAGCTAACCTTATCATAAAGAGAACCAGGTGGTCCCAGCAGCAAGCTGCAGGAAAGCCATCCCTGCCAGAAAGACCCCCAGGACCAACCGGCAAACCAAACCATGCACCACGCTCATGCTGCACAGCAGGCTTTGCAGATCTGGCAGCGTTCCCGACCTCCATGAATTTCAGTGGTGGGGAAAAGAATTAGACTTGGCAGTGGGGTTCTCCTGAAGAGCAGACCACACCTTCGAGACACGCATTTCCACCGAGGACAAAAATCAAAATATTAACACACAAAAATGCTGTACGTTCACCAGATGTTTATCAATATTCCATAAGAATTCATTAACGCTCTGCCAGTGAATTACATCCGAAAGGTGCCAGGTTCCCATGATGGATAATGTACTGCTCTCTTCCTCGGTGAGCTGCAAGTGCTAACTCCACAGAGAGCTTGGGAGAGGGTTCAGAAGGACACAGCAGCTCAAAGAGAAAAAAAATTACCCCCACTAAAAAGAAAAACTGTGTTTGAAGAATGGTAGGGAGGGGCAAATAAACCCTCGCTGGTTTGCTATTTGCTAGAGGAGGTCTGTGCTCTTTGCAGACTTACTGATTACTGCGGACAAACTGATTAAAAACTTTGCAGACACTCTTCTTGCAACAAGCCATCCTACTAATTTTCTGCCTCAAACAACTATGGTTTTTTTTAGCCAAGAGAAATGGGAAAGGTTGGGGTCAAAACCATCCCTGGGACAGGTATTTCAGTTCAGCAAATGGGCTCTCCTTTTCTTTTTTCATCTTTTTAAACATGATATTCCAACAGTCGGGCATATTTTACACAAAAATCAACATAAGGCCCTTCTTTCCCTCTCTGGGCTGTGCAGAGGACAAACGTTCATTTGCTTATCCATGAATGAACAGATGGAAAAGTCACAGCAGCAGCAGCAGAGCACAACGTCCACAGCCCAGGCATTACAGATGTGCACGCAAGAAGGATGCACAGACAGATCCACAGCTCTGCAGAGTATCCCACTGCGATTTCAGGGCAGGAAAACCCTGCCACTCCACGCGATGATCCTTTCTTTGCTCTGTATTTCTTGGCACTGCCACATGCTCTAACGCCAGTGCAGGCAGCAGAGGCCACCACTTTGCTGACCCTACAGAAAGGGCCGGTCCAGCTCCCTTTCCAGTGTGAAAACTGGAAAAGGCTGCAATCCAAAGGGAAGGCACAGCTCGCTTTTGCTCCACATGGGTAATGGGGGAAAGCATCCGTCTCTCAAGGAGAGCGCCTGCGCGTCTTGGTTTTGTGCCAGGCTAATACTTCCTGCTAATACTTCACCCTGCCGGGCAAGAATCAGAGACAGCTCCAGCGCACAAGCCTGAATAACCCAGACGTGCTGACTCGGCTTCAGTTTGCAGGCATGATTGCTTTACAGACACTCAACCCAGCACCTGGCAGCAGACAGGATACTGGAATACAAAAAGGAATTCCTTTTCTTGGATAAAACGGGCTCTTCACTATGCTTCAGCGCCCTGCCTGCTCGCGGGGCCAGCGCAGGAACAGGACAGGCAGCAGGTGCCCAGATGGGAGAGGATGAAGTTATGATACAGACCATTTGGTAAAGGAGACTTGAAATTAGCCTGAGGGTTAAAAAAAAAAAAATGCTAATTCAATCTTTGGGGATTTGCTTCAAAAGTTCAGGTCTCGCTGAAGACACAATGAAAATGGCTGGTGTCCTGTTATCCCTATTTGTTACCGAATGGCTAAGGAGCACCTCTCCTACAAGGGGGTGTTGGACAGAAACCTGGCTGTGCTTTACAGGTGCGATGGCCCGTCCACAGGATGGAAATCAAGTCCAAATGCCAGAGGAAGACGGAGCAGGGAAACCATCAACGCCTGCCAGGCACTGCTGAGGGCACCTACTGCTGAGCAAAACCCCCCAGGCTTCACAGTGCTGCAGACACGGGGTCAAGGGGAGTTTGCAGCCCGGAGCTGAGCTCCCCAGCCCCAGGTCAGCAGCTCTGGCCCTGCGAGGCCAGGGAAGATGAGAGCCTGCAAGCACATTCACTCCCAGCTGGAAACTTCACTCCCCAGTGCCAGTGACTGGGCTTCCACAGCACCTTGTTCACCCTCTGCATCCTTCTCCAGCCTGCAAAGCAGGACTAATGCCCATACAAGAGATTTTCTTACAGCAAGAACCGTGTAGATTCCCAGCAGGGCTGCCATGCCCTGGTGTCCTCTGTCTTTTTGAAGAACTTAGCCTTTTAAAAAAATGCAGAAGTCCTTGG